CGCCAGGCTCGACCACAGGTGTACTGCGCTCCTTGAATCGGTCTCAAACACGAAAAGAGTTATTCTTTACATTCTATTCATTAGCTACGCATCGCACGGGATACGGTAGACAAAAAAGACCGAAGGCCATCAAGGACCGGAATGGGCGAAGGGAGAAAAGGAGGGAAGTATTGCACAGCGAGAAGACATGAGGGACAGGGGCAAAGAGAGCAAACGGAGACCTGGTAGAGTATATAGATACAACACGCGCCCAGAGGACGGACGAAGGTAGAGGGATGGGGACAAGGACAGCGAGGACGAGCACTGGGTCGTAGCGGGTCATGATGATGATGCATAGGCGGGGGGAAATATTGTCCGTAGTAAAAGCAGGATCATGATACAGACGACGAAGACCGTGATGATGATGGTGTGGGTGACGACGACGTCGATGCTACAGGTGCACGTTCGTCCTCTGGCTTGAGAACCAGTGCGGGCCCTGCCTCGAGGATCACATCCTCGTCCATGTCGCTCTCGAACTCGCTTTCACTATCGCTTGGCACGAAGCGGGGCGGGGCCACAGGGATAATCGGTGACTTCTTGCTTGCACCATCGGCGCCATCGACTGGTGCACCGGAGGCCAGTAGCGCGTCGTCCTCGCCTGGCAAGCGGATGGGTGTTGCTTGGTCCTCGACGTCACCAGCGGCCTGAACTTCGCGTGCGAAGAAGTATCGGATGCCGACGGGAATAAGCGCGCCACAGACCACCGCCGCGAGCAGGAAGAAGTTCCTCCACGAGATAAGATGGAAGTCGCCGGCGCTCGTCATGTCGTCGAGTCCGGAGCCGATGGTAGTGTGGATGACAGTAACACCGAAGATGCCGAGGAACGTGCTGAGCCAGAAGGTCGGCAATCCGATGCCGAGATGCGGGCAGAGCATGTTGACGACCCAGTGTGGTGGCAAAGGGGCGATGCGGAGGACGATGAGGAAGGGAATAATGTTCGCGCGTTGGCGCGAGACCTGTCCTGAGAACGACTCCATGCGGGTCTTGATGGCTGGTAGTGTCAAGAGCGCCGGCCCGAGTGCCGACGAGAGGAGGTAGCAGAGCGATGAGCCCGTCGCCACGCACGCGCAACATAGTGGTAGGGCGCGTGCGACACCCCACACCGCACCGCCGAGGATGGACATGTACATCGACCCGGGCAGCGAGAATAGTTGCAGGCTGTGAAGGCATCAGTGATCGTGGGAAATACTTGGTTCAAAAGAGTCGCACGTACAAGAGGTAGGTGACGACGAAGCAGACGAATATCTGGAACGGGTAGATGTCCCGGTACTTCTTCAGGAGGTCGTTCAAGTCCTTGAGCTGCTCAAAGGACTTGGGAATCCGAAGCTTGTCTCGGTCCATCCTGCCATGGCCGTCAGCCTCATACTGACATTTCAGGAAACAGCTTTCTCAACGCACTCTTCTAACCGCGGCAAAGCCAGCCAGAGAGTACCACCAAGGATAGCGCAGCCGACAATAAATATGACAGCCATCTTTACGCCAGCGTTGAAGATGATCTTCTTGCGTGAAGGTTCCGAAGGCTGCCCGGGTGCGACGCCGTATGTTGACGGCCCAGAACTGTGGGAAATCAGAGACGAGGCCTCGGAGGCGTTGTCGGAGGGCGAGCGCATGGTGGCGAGAGTGTGCAAGGATGGGGTCGAGCGCGCGGCCGGGGAGGTGTTCATAGCGTGGCCCGGAGAGGAGCGCGGGGCGGATGACCAGAGAGCGCTTATTATATCGACAAATACAACGAAGAGGTCGGAATATAATATCCTGCGGCTCTGCGGAAGAGAGCGACCGAGGGAGAGCGCAGGAGTGGTGGTTCGAGTATGTAAAAGTCGGGAGATTCGGGAGGATGGATGTTCTGGACAGGTTCAAGGCGAGGCTGATGCTCGCTCAGCGCCGGCGCCTCCGCATGGCCCCACACATCCTCAATTGGCACACGTGTGTTTCGGCGCTCGGCTAATTCTGCCCGCTCCTTTGTCGCCGACAACGACGAGCTCAGACACAACATCCTCGCCGTCGTGGTGGTCGTCTGCACATAGGGGTCATGTCTTTCTTTCGCAGTGTGGTCGACGCCCGCCTGGGCCCGCCGCCGGTGATGCATGACGCTCGGTGATCGCTTCAGGGCCGCCCGCGGCAGTCAGGAATTTGCGGCTCCTTACTTCCGCCTCTCACCGTCACCGCTGCCTGAATACGGATACGATTTCTGACCTTCTGTGTGATCCTCAACGTGTCGTTTTTCACGCTGGGTAAGTCGTAGATTGTGGCCAACGTGTCCGATGAAGAACGTTGGGCTACTGGCGTCTACAAGTCCATAACTTCCGGTTGCGCTGTCGTTCTCTCCTTATCGAACATGCGTCTCTCACATGTTCTGCTACTCCATCTGTCTACCACCGCTCGTTGCATTTTGGGGTACGAGCAGTGCCGGCAGTTATGAATCGTCGTATCGATCGGCGCAATCGCCTGGTTCGGTGGTGTCATGTTCATTCTACTACGCAGTGAGACCCGGTAAAGCTCTGGGACAGCTACGAGCACACTGGTTCTTTGCTTGTAAAGTACTTATCATTGTGGGTACTCTATCGTTAGGTGAGTGCTCACAACGCGCACACGCCTACTGAGACCGCAGAGACCACGTACGCGCAGACGAGATAGTTCTCTTCTTTCATCTCCAGCCAGCTTCCATCTTACTGCACTCCTCTACTCCTCAGTCTGTCAGCAGCTCCTCACTCGCCGCGCAATGTGCGCACTAACATCTCAGATGAGCTATCTCGGACGATCATGAGACGCTCGACGCTCTCTAACCAGGTCCCAACGCAGTTATCGTCGACGTCTGACGGCATCTTACCACCAGCTGTAACACGCCTCCTCAGATCGGCTCGTGCATAGAAGGCTGTAGACTTGTCAAAGTGCATACACTGCGATCTTCAGGGCTCTTTGCTCTTGAGAGTAAGCTTTATCGACCCTGTACTAGAGGCGGGAGCCGACGCGGGCCTGCCCGACGAAGTACGTCAATTGATGCGCCTACACGCTAAGCACGCCACCACGAGATGTCTCCACGCATTGTTGGACTTGGTCAAATCCAACGCTGTACTGTGCGGCGGGACATAGACGGAAAAAGAACGGAGTTCGAAAGCGTCTGCCCGACGATGTACGTTACGCTCGCGCAGTGATCCACCAACATGGTTCGTTCTGTTCAAGCCACAAATGAGTGGGCTGGAGCTGTTAGGTAACGGCGTGGAGGGTGTGCTCGTGGCGAGGGAGCGTCGCGCTGTGGTGGAGACTCACTGTGCCAGACTCAGTGCTGATATAACGACTCTGACTTTACCCGTAAAGGTATCTCAGATGCCAGTGCTTGCTGTGCTAGAGCGAGGTTTACGCTCACTTTACAGACGGCCGCTAAGCCGAAACGTCTGCTAAGTTGCACAGAGTGAGGTCGAGGAAGCCGCCAAGGGCGTCCGGATTGCTCTGGAAGAACAGCTCTCTGCGCGTCTACGAACTCGTCTACTTCATCATGCAGATGATTCCATCGTGACCCCAGACGTTGCGCCACGAAGGCTGCCACCGGTATACCAACTCGGTCATCGTGACGATACTATTTAAGAACGCGGATAAGCGTCGGATGGCCCGCCGCCCTCGTCAGCCTTGTCTAGCAATCCGCTGCACCTCCAGGGACCGACGAGATTTATTTAGAGCGCCCGGGTCATCTGCACTCAAGTAACGTCCACTACCGACGCGCCCGCTGCGATGTTCCTAGAGTCGCAGCGATGGCGGCGGAACATTGTGTTATGTCCAGAAGTTGCATATGGCCTTTGCGCGAACTTGACCATCTATGTACCGTCCGGGGCCATTCACGATTGGCTTTCACGCACAGACGCGTACCAATCGAAAGCTTCCGCCCCGGTGAGGGGAAGGGTCTGCTTCTGCCCGACCGACGATGTTTAGCTCAGCCAGGAGCAGTTCCACACTGCGAGTCTGAATGCTGAGAACGGTCGTCTTCGAGAAGGAGTACGGGTGAGAGTCGAAGACTCTGCGTTGCTTCAAGATGGAGTATGCACGACTGCTGAAAGAGAAGGCGCTGCTGTGGCTCGTGACAACAGGCTATGATCCTCATCGAAGTGATCGGCACTTCCCCGCGCCCACGCCGCCGCGTGGCGGGCCGTCGAGTGAAGGTTGATTAGATGTGTACATACCGTCACTCCAGTGCGAGCTCTAGTCACCTCTTGATTCTGCACGATGGGCTCAGAAGCCAGACCTACGTACTCACGTACGCGATGACCTACAGCCAGATGGGCGGGATGCGCAGGGCAGGGACGGCGGGTCGACCCTTGTTCGTCGTTCGCCGCTTCCCGCTCGTCCCTGCCTACGACGTCTCCATGATTCTCGGGGCGCTGCGACGGTGCGATTGGCAGATCTGCTCCGAATCCGAATCTCCCAGACGCGATGTTAGATGGGCGCGTAGTAGGACGGCTGATGGCACCGCAGGGAGCAATCAACACGGCATCGCCTCGAGTAACCCACACACCAGTGCCTGCCATATAAGCCCGGGGCTGCCGCCCCTCCCCTGAACGCTGCTGCCGCCCCGTCGTTCGCCTTTCGTGTTCTTCTTCTGGGGCTTCGGGTTCTCTTCTTCTTTGTACTTCTTCGTTTGACCGCCCGAGGGTCCTCTTTGTTCAACTTTCACGACTTCAACTTCACCAACACAGCCTACTGCTCTTACCTTCGATCATACTAGTCATGTCTGCGCCAGTTCAAGCATCCTCCACGCAACGCATTCCGCGCAAGCCCGTTCCGAAGGTGTGTTTCATCCTGATCAATACGCGTAGTAATGTTGGCCTGACCATCAACAAGTTCAACTATGACGCGCTCTACCCCGCGCCCGATCTGCACGACCCGCTCGCGCCCTTGGCCGTCCTACGCAACCGTCATCCCGAGGGCGCCAGCACCCAGCTGCCGGTCCTGAACATACCGGCGCTTAACATGCCGATTCTGCCCCTTCCGGCCGAGACGGCGCCGCCGCCAAGCATCCGCCGTCAAACGATCGTGGCGATGCCCAGCGACAAGCGGAAGAGGTCGCTCTCCGTCGTAGGGCCTGCTAAGGCAACATCCAAGGCGGACAGGCGCAAGACTGCTATTCTCGGCATCAGCGCGCCGATCGCTACGTCTACCGCGCCTGCAGTGCCCTCTGTGCCCCGTATCCCCGTTGCATTCCCTGTGGCACGCGCGCCGCGTTCCGCCTCGCGCCCTAGTACTGCCGACTCCATTCGTCCGGGCACGGGCCGTAGCATTTCGTCGAACTCCTCGTCGGCGTCCTCCATGCTCTCGGATCTATCGGACTGGCCTGATCACCTCATCCACAAGCTGGGCGATCCGGAGGTCACGCTCGCCCAGGACGCGCGCAAGAACATGCGACCGATGGCTGTCGACGAGCCCGCGCCGAGTATGCGCCGTACACATACCCCACTCCCGATCGCGCCCGTGCCCTCACCTGCAGGCCCCAACACGCTGAAGAAGAAGGGCTCGCGTACTTCCCTTGCCGCGCGCATGTTTTCCAGCCGCTCGAGTACTCCCGTGCCGACTTCGCCGCCTCCAAAGGTCGCGAAGCTTCCTTCCTCTGCCGCATCTACATCCGGCAACGACTCTGGCTACGAGACTGCCACGAGCAACCTCACCCCGCCCTCAAGCGCATCAAGCAGTTCTACCGCATCCGGATCGAGTGTAGAGGCCGCCACCCCACATGCTCCGAGTCGCTCGCCCTCGCCACTTCGCGCGCCTTCGCCTCTACAGGCACCGAAGCGCAAGTCCAGCATGGGTGTGCTGAAACATCACTCCTCCGCGGCCCTCAAGCGCCAGTCCGCCGCCGCCGCACTCGTTCTCGCCGCAGAATCCGAGCCCGAGGACGAGTCGCGAGCTCGAAGGCGCACTATCTCGACGACATCGCGTGCGCGCAGTAAGTCGGTGTCGCAGCAGCCTCGCAGCAGGTCCACCGAGCACGTCGGTGCGGGTTCCGGTGTGGCTCCGAGGCCGAGCCTGAAGAGTTTGATGTCCCTGCCTACGCCGCCACCCGTGCCGGTGATCCCGAAGGTACAGAGGGCGGAGGCTCGGGAAGCGAAGGCGAAGGGAGGCGAGGCGAGAGTGGATATCCAAGTGAAGGCGCCTACGCCTATGCACCCGCTCGTCCGCACAACGTCGTTGCGGGACACACCACCATCGCGCCCAAAACGCTCACACCTCCGTTCCGTTTCCGACCCCGACGCTCTTGCAAGTGCCGTACGCTCGCAGCTAGCTGCAGCCCCTATCCCACCAGTACCTTCTATCGCCGCACGCGCAGCCTCGCCCACTCAGCGAGCGGCGTCGCCATCGCCTGCTCGTACGGCTACACCTACGTCTGCACGTTCAGGCTCGCCCCGCAAGGGTCCGCCCGTACCCCTTGACCTCCCCGAAGAACCAGCTTCAGCACTCTCCGCCCGCTACAAGCCACATGCAAAGTCACCAAAACCGACGGCCCGTGCGCCCAGCGAGACGCAGCCCGCACCCGTACCAGTACCCGCACTGCCGATGAAGATCCCTCTCGCAGAAGTTGAACGTAGGCCACAGGTTGTCCGTACGCGCACGTCGATGCCGCGGCTGAATCGCCTGCGTAGCAGCACCATGAACGGCGAATGCACCTCGCCAACTTCGCCGACATCACCCTCTCGCCGTCGTGCGGCGCCCTTCTCCCGCTCTTTCACATCGCTCCCGCTACCTCACGCGAAGTCTTCACACGCGCACTTGCCACCGAGCCCGGACCCCATGGGTGCTGTGCTCCCGAGCGCTGCCCAGCTCGCTCGTGCAGCAGAGATGGTCGTCCTTCAGGAGAATGGGACTCCGGTGCCGTTCGGTTCGCTGTGGAAGGAGAAGCGCTCTGCAGTGATCTTCATCCGTCACTTCTGGTGCCCTTCGTGCCGCGAATACCTCGCTGGTGTTGTGCGCGCTGCTGATACCGCTGCACTCGAGCGAGCGGGCGCGCAGTTGTTGATCGTTGGATGCGGGGACTTCAACCTCATCAAGAGCTACCGCCGTACGTCGTTCAGTATCCCAGTCTATCGTGTGCAAAGGCTAATTGAAGTGCAGAGACCTTCCGCATGCCATTCCAGCTCGTCGTTGATCCGTCGCACGGTCAACAGCTCTACCGCACTCTGGGCATGAACATGCTGCTCCCACCTGGGCTTGGTGGCGTTCAGCCTTCCGGTGGCGCGAAGGGTCGGGTACGCTCGGCCGCGTTCGTCTTCAAGACTACGCTGCGTGCTGGTGTTCCTGCTTGGGGTCGCGGCGGAGACTCGTCACAGCTGGGCGGCGAGTTTGTGCTCGGTCCTGGTCTGCGTTGCACGTACGCACACCGTATGCAAAGTGTACGGGGACATGCTCCTGTTGAGGAGGTGCTCGCAGCCGTAGGCGTCATGACGTCCGCAACCAGCGTGCGCGTCTGGCTTCCGGACCATGCGGATGAGGAGAGCGGCAGCGAGAAGGAGATCGTGGAGAAGAAGTCCACGCATGCGCCAGGCATCACTTTCGAGGACTCGAAGCGCAGCATTGGATGGGAGTCGACCGAGTCGACAGTGCTCGTAGGTGGGCATTAAGCGATGTCTGCCGGGCGGCGTTGCGTATCATATTTCCTTTGGGTAACAGGGTTTATGGGCTTTGAACTTATCTCGGGCTACAGGGGGACAGACACGATGAGGCTTGAACGGTTCGAGTACTCCTTCACTTCACTTACTTCATACAAATTCTACGATGCTCGCTATTTATACTTTATGTTCACGACTGCGTCATTATTTTTACGACCCGTTGAACCTTTATGACACTTCTTTTGGCAGCACTCTATCGTTGGATATCTTCCTTTCATCGCGCAATATTCGGCAAGGGTAAAAGAGCGGCTAATGCGGCCCGAGATGGTCGGAATGGGTCCCCAGAGCGCTGTGAGCACCAAGTGAGCACTTGGCATCCGGACTCGGAGCTGATTTTCTCAAGGTATCCGGGCCACCTGCGTCAAGCGGCGCGTACATGCTGGTGCTCCCATGTACTTTCGCTGCCTGAAATTCCGCTGGATCGTCGACGCCGACTCGCCGTGATAAACGCGTGACGTCACGCGTGCAGAGTGCGACCCAATTCCGCGACCATTCGTTCTTCTTCACCTACCATCATCGTTGCAGCCTCGTACAAACCCTATAGATCACTCACCACTCTCCTGGTATTTTAGCGCCTGATAACACTTGGAGATCTCTGAACAACGTACGATCCTCTTGCAAGACACAAGCGAACGTGAAGCTCAGGGGCATGGCAGACTACTCGGATTATCAGCATTGGGCCGCGTACCTGAACGAAGCATTTAATTCTACAGTCGGCCTACTCAATAGGCCTGACGAATGGGCTCCCAGGTTACAAGGGCTTTGGTTTCATCCGAATGGGGACGAGCTTTTGTCACCTGACGCATCCGAGCGCGATCAACATGGCTACATAAAACCGCTCACAGCGACAACATGTGCGATGCGCGGACCCAGTCATAACCAGCATCAGCTTTACCCTACTTCTTTGTCTCAATCTGGTGGAAAGTCGTTGGAAGATATGTATTTGCGCACTATGAAGGCGTCGAATTGTCACCTCGTGTTTGACTTCGGTCATTCTGCGTTGAAAGTCAGTCAAGTTATTGTGTACATCCACCTCAACAGCCACTCAAAAGTTTCGATCGATATGCGCAGGCATCATTTCTATCGGCCAACGCGACAGTCCAGCTCTACTGGCCTGACTCGTGGGAAGCAATCAAAAACACTCCGAGATACAAGTACGGGCTCAAGCCCGAGCAGAGGGTGAGTATCGCCTCCGATTGCTAAGGAGCGAAGTACTTGACATAAAACTTCAGATGTTGACATTCTCTGTGGCACTTGCGCTGGATTTCGGAGACTTTGTCGTGTCGTTCAATGGGCCTGACGATCTGGTCTTTTCGGTCTGTCGATAGCGAGCGCATCAGCGCGGCGTACGGCGCTGATACCTCGCGACATTATAGTGCGAGTGGACTGCGTCATCATGTTCCAACACGCTTGAACTTGGGGGGCCTTTCGTAGTCGACGTTTTGGGCGATTGGCCTGGCTACATGCATCTTGTTGTCCACTGGCTGGAAGACGTGTACCCCGCATTGCCGACCGAAGAAAAAGAAACCTGCATTGCAATCTTTCTACACGAACACAGCGGCGAGGAAGATTTATTTGCCGGAGTGACCAATCACTCCCGCTCCGAAGTTCTGTTCCGCGCAGGTTAGGAGTACTGTATACCTCCCACACTCTCGAGCTCACGTCACTCTTCCAGGGCTTTCTCCAAACCTGACTCTGAGAGAAGTAGTCGACTCACGCAGTCGTTTCTATCGCCTGATTCTCGCGACCTGGCAATACAAATACCTAGTCATGTCATACCTATGGTATGGGCAAGATATGCCCGCACACACCACGTAGCTGACGCGCTTCTGCTTGCACTTGAACAGGCCTCGCTATGTCAGGCCCGCCATTCGTGATCGAAAGATTGCGCCAACGTTTGATCAGCGCCTCGAGCTGATAACCAAAGGCTTCTGGGTTCATGGGCAAAACCCATTGAGGACCACATCCAGATACAGGACACAGATAATGAGATGCAACCAGCGGGCAGAGGCTGAGGGATCGGTAAGTCCATGTTCAATGCAAGCACTTCACAAACTTCTTACCCTCGTGCCTTCGTAGGACTCCGAGAATGACGAACGCGTGCGACTTTTCGACGCATTTGAGCCTTCGCTGTTGGAGGACGCCATTCGACACGCACCAGAGTTTTGTCCCGCGATATTCAACGGCACGTTCTGGGCAGACCACAAGAGTGAATTGGAAGAACATCCGCCTTGGCTAGAGAACCCGCTTGTGATCAAAGATTCGAGCGAAGGTATCCTTCGAATGGCGACATCACAAACGATAAGCCTGCTCATCACACTTCTTCCAGGTTTATTCGCTCTTTCACAGGAACTCATATGCACTACATCGTGGACTACATTACTTCTCCCGCCGAACTTGAATGGACGCCTAGCCGATACGAGGTGTCTCGCATACAGCTCCCCAAGTATCGGGGAGATATGGTCTCCCTTGTGCGTACGATGGGATCTATAACTTGTGCTCTGCGAGCAGAGTTCGATACTCATGATCCCCAGAAAACTGACACGTATGGGAGATGTGCAAGTCAACGAATCCCCGTTATCGTTGGGCAGAACAATATCTTCTTCGAGGAGGTATGGAGTTGGTGTCTTGGAATCACCCGGAAACGCCATGGCAATCCGATCGTGTACACGACATCACCAGTACGTCGCGTCATCTCCTTATGATGGATGGAGGCTCATGTAGATTCCATGAAGTACGCACCCATCGCGCGGCGCAATTGCTGATGATGACCCGGCGATGTATCAAGTTATGCGTAAAGGCCTCACGTTCGAGATGGCTCGCATTTCTAGTGGTCAAAACAAGCTGAAACGACAAGCTGTGAAGCGTCTCAGCGAGGAAGAGAGAGTGAAAAGACAGCGAGCGGAAGCGGCATTCGACGAGATGTGGATTGATCGGTTCGGGTGTCTTCCTCGAGATGAACCCGAGGAGGACCCTAGACCTGTGAAGAGAAGGGCTAAGCAACTCGAGATATTGACAGCTGCCGCACAGAAGTTCGTGAAGCCCGAAGGGTCCAAGCGGGTGAAGAAGGAGAGGGGTATTAGTATGACGATTGACAAAGAGAAGGCCTACTGGGAGTGAACATGGCGCACGCTTTGTAAGAGTCATACATTCTCATCTGCCTTCATCGAGTGAACCTGAGGCATTCGCCATCACCGAAGAAGCTTAGGAGACGTTTGGAGTGATTATGCAGTATCATTAGAAAGTTGCACATTTGGTATCTGTCTATTGAGGTGGACATACATATTTCCGTCTATACTGTCTATATTGTCTATGCTGTCTAAGTCGTCCGAACCCACGCACGATCTACAGTCGTGGAACTGGAAGAATCTGCCTTCTTTTCATACTACGTGAATGGTTGGCGTGTTTTGGCCCGATGCTGATCTGGGGGTTCTATGCCCAGCCTTTTCGAACAGATGGCTAGCGTCCGCAATGACATCGTCGGCCTTGTCGTAGAAGATCAAGCCGCGGCAGAACGCCACGACCGTCAGTACCGCAAGCACAGTCCATACTGCGGCAAGGACCACGACGAAGACGATTTGGACTGTCCGCAGACCAGGCACGTTGAGCGCATCTGCCAATGCGCCGAGGCAGCCGATCCAGCCGACATTCGGGAAAGTCAGCGCCCAACCTATGTAACGCTCGATGAGTATACTGTGGCAAGATATGAACCTGAGTGCGGGACACTCACAGCCAAGAATCTCGTTCAGCTGCCGGTGTAACTTGAACCAGTAGGGAAGCGCTCCAAAGACGACAAGGAAGGCGGCGAGACCGAACATCATCAAAGCCGCGAGAACGGATGCCGAGTACCAAACCTCGCCTGCGATGTCGGCGACGACCCCGTGGCGTGGAAGGCTGATGAGCAGGTCAGATGAGGAAACAATGTAGAGGAAACGCAACATACATGTCACGAGCTTGTTCTCCGAGTTTGATGAGCGACAGAGCCGTGAATCCAGGCGGACCGACGGCGATGAACGCCCCGTTCGCTTGGTGGCCCTCCATGAACCCGGTCTGCGTCGCATAGTCAGGTACTGCTCTAGGCAGAGGCAGATGAGTAACGTACCATCATCAGCCTCATCAGGTATATAGCGATATACAGGATCGTAACACACGACCCAAGGCCTTGGAAGAAGTAGCCCACGAAGAGCACGCCGAGGGTGCGTTCCTCTGCCGGGTCCATCACCTCAAGCACGTTGAACGCGACCACACCGACGAGCATCATGGGGAACACCAGGAACATCCAGGCCGGCGTGAAGTTCCGTATATCGTGCGGACGGTTGAACCAGATCATGAGCAGTGGGAAGCTCACGGCGACGGCGAGCCCGACGTAAATCCAGAAGAGTATATAAGCGAGATCTGGCCTGACGTCCACGGGCACTTGGTCGTAGTTGATGGCCCCGATCAGGAGCGTCGCATACGAGAGGACCTGCGTCGCCGGAGTTAAACAAGCTGGTCAAAAATGATGGATTAGCTGCGTACGACTAGAGGAACGTAGATGTTCTTCGCCGGATCCGTCACCAGTCTCTTTGCTTGTCGAGGGTACACTATTCACACGTGCGCTCAGGAAACATCCGCCGAGGCGATGAGCATGGATACTGACGAAGAGCCTGCAGGGCTAGCGTAGACACATTGATACAGAAGAGCACGAGGTTCAGGAAGAAGAAGACGGTCTCGACAGTCCTCTGAGCACTGGACTGTTGTTTCAACCCATTGATAGACACATATCTACATCCAGGTCAGCAAAGGGGCAGACATGTATTATGACTGCTGTACGCACACTGCGCCTGTGCCCATGCCCACAGGGAACGCCTGCCAACTCCAGCCATGTACTCGTCGTGCGATGTGGCTGACCCTATGTGGTCGGGCATCTACCGGTATCGGCTCGGGTTGTCGTGCGAAGAAGGTCTTGACATTGAAGAAGTTCTTCGTTGGGATGTGCCCAGGAGGCGGCGGTCGATCGACTACCGTTTCGGTCGGAGAAGGCACACGCGACAGGCCTAGGACCGGCGTATTTGACGGAAGACCGAGGTAGAATTGTGGCGACAGGTATGGCCGGAAGCTGGAGTCGCCATGGTGGTAGGCTAGCCGAGGCGTAGGCGCGTATGGTGGAGATATAGATCCTGGAGTCTGCATTGTGAGGAGAGCAGAGAGAGAGTACGGCAACGGTGGGTGGTGGGCCGTGAAGATATACGCGATGCGACGACCCGCTGAAGCGCGGTAGCATCGCGGACACCAGTTCGAGCTCTCATCTCAGCTGCCCAGAATCGTTCTGGGCAGAAGTCCGCGCCTGTCCGCGCTATCTTGTTCTACCGGCGGCGGCCGGGCCGGTAGACAGTCACCAGCTTATTATAGGCTTTCGCGCCACAATATGGGCTTCTATAAATGCGCTGGACTTGCATACACTCTAGGAACGCTGCCGAAGCCGACTCGTAGGGAAGAAGATGAGGGGAGCATCCAAGAGCTGACGCTGGCGACATCGTTCTCGTTGCGTGCCATGTGCGGCGCACGCGTCGGCCTCCGAGATGCGGAGAGCACGGAGAGGCATTGCAAATGCACTGCTGTACGACTCTGTGCGATGGCCGCATGCTGCTCATAGCCGGAGCCCAGGCTACGAAGAGCCCTGTGCCCCTGGTTGCTGTCCTTGGTTGTGGTAGGTCCGCTATGGGTGCTCGCTGACGGTAGTGTTGGAGTACCTACGGGTATCCATTCTCAACTGCATAGATCACGATGGAATCCCATCAAGCAGGGAGAACATCGGATTCAGATAGGAAGCACTGCAAGACGACAACACGGTGCAAAGCTACAGACGAGGCCACAGATTGTTATGATACAGCCAGAACTACAGAATCACGCATAGACTTCAGCTCACGCCCTCTCCTTCTCCTTCTGACCCTGCCCTAGGAAATCACCCGACTCGATGTTGTTGAGCGCCTCCTCATTCTGGTCGAGCTGATAGAAGGTAACCCAGAATAGGATGCCGCCGATGAACGAGAGCACGCCCATGACGCCGTAGTTCCAAACAAGCAGCCTGCAATGAGGTCAGCGTGTGAACACAGAAGAACTTCGAGTGGCGAAAGCAACGCACGGATCGGTCGAAAGGCTGACAAACGCCTCGCCTATGGCACTCGAGATGGCAGAGGTGAAGAGGAACATGGACATGACGAGTGACTTCATGTTCTTCGGCGCCTTCGTGAACGCATACTCGAGACCGGTGATCGAGGCGTAGATCTCGGAGGCGGCGATGAGCACATAGGAAGGCGTCTGGATCCACACGTTGAGCGGAGATACGTCGCAACCAGCATTAGCCGCGTAGTAGCCGCATGGAGAAGTCTTGTAGATGTAGTGCTGCGTAACGGCTGCCGCGAGCATGGCAAGCGCGCCGGTGATAAAGCCGGCGGTGATCTTGCGCAGAGGGGTGACACGAACGCCGATGCGCTGGCAGAACGGGTATATGAGCAGGTCGTGGAGAGGGATGAGGATGAGGATTGCGAAGGGGTCCAGATTGTTGATGACTGACAACACAGTTCAGTACATGGCGAAATATGCAACGGAAGGGGACCTACCGTCGTTGGGAACACCGTGTGTTGACATCACAGCGGCTTGCGAGGTCAAGTTGTTGATGATCTGGTTGTACGGAAGCCAGTAGACCGGGTACCAGACGAATACCGCGCAAGCCTTGAAGCCACGACGGACTTCCTCGACCCACTTATCGTCGAACGTCATCCAAGCTGGGCGACGGTCAACGGGAATGTGGCTGGGCTTGACGTTCTCCCAGAAAGTCTCGTCGTGCATGCTACGCCACATCTTGACCGGGTTGAGAGACCAGCGACCCTTCGCGGCGTATGCCCAGAGACGCATCGACTGGATAGTGACCGAGCCCTCCGGCTTCGTGTGACGGTAGCGGTTACGACCGACGAAGAGCACAAGCGGACAGCACAAGTAGACCACAGTCGGCAACATGTACGAGAACCAAAAGCCGATGTACTTCTCGCCGTAGGTCATGCCAATGGGACCAATCAGGGAACCGATGTTGATGAAGAAGTAGACTACGGATGGACATTAGCAGAAGCACAGTACACTGAAAGGATGCGATCGTACACCACATGTATACACGGGCGGTAGTCATCGCGGGATCTACGATAACGCGCTCGCCGTCCTTCTTCACTCGGACGAATGGTTTCAGGCTACGTTGTTGCTCTGCGATAAGCGGAGAGATGTTGCTCTTGAAGCCGCCAGTACCTGGTGTCCATTTCAGTCACCGGCTCGGCGAAAACGGATGCAAGCGCTTACCGAGACCCATGATGACCATTGCAACGACGAGGCAAGCGAGCGACCCATTCGCCTTCACAATGACCGGCGGTACGGCAGAGACGATGAGCAGAATATGACCCAGGAGACATATCGCAATTGAGCACATGATCGTCTTGTACCGGCCGATGTACTGTAGGTTACAGGGTCAGTGCATTGACTAGATAAGCGCCGAGGGAAGATGATACGTACAGTATCCGCAATGTATGCACCTAAGATTGGGGTGCAGTACGTCCAGAAGCTGTCTGACAGTTAGCATGGCTCACGCGACCTGGCGCAGATCCAGTCTAAACGCACGAGTTGAAAGTTGTCAGACCGGTCGCAGTTTGCTGGCCCTTCCCGAGCGCGCCAGACTGACCGAACTTACCGCCTGCCCCAGTCCTGGAGCCAGCTGGCAACGGCTGCTGAATGACTAGGAGATGCTCAGTCTCCGTTGTAGCGGAAAGTATCCTGAAACACGTACAGTTGGTCCAGACAGCTGTACTACCATAATAGCTGAAGCGCTCGGCCATCTCCACGAAGGCAATCACTGCGCCCTCGGGGTCAGATCGCGGAGACCACGCATGCCAATATGGATAGATGCATACAGTAGGTAGACCAGTTAATGTAATCCGACACATGGCGGAGGGTCTCCATCTCCTCATTGGTGGGCGCGACTAGGCCTTCCGGCGTTTCGTGGTCGTGTGGCGCGGCGTCAGCGAAGTCATCCGCATTCTTCTCGTCCGCTGCAGGGACATAGTCGTCAGCAGGAATGACCTTTCCATGCTCGCGTGCAGCCTCTGCAGCCGCGGCGAAGAACGAATCGTCGGCACCCTGTCCTCGGCTAGCCATGCTGTCGTCTGAGAGTTCTGTTGAACTGAAAACGGCGATGAACGAAGGCCGGACAGCGACGACGACGATACGGTCGTGCGGGAGGGATCCACGAAGGCGATGGATGCACTAGCTACGCCCGGATGCACAAGTGTACGTCTTATAACTGTGTAGCAGAGTCTCCGGCGTCTGTACAGACGAAACTGGCAGGAGGACCGCATGGTTCTGTCAGGCACGGGGAAACTTCTTGACGCTGTAGCGCCTTAGCGGCGCGCGATAAGCCGCACCAACGGCAGGTCAAGACTGAAGTTTTGGGCGGAGGGGACCGGTGCGGGACGCAGAGGCGCAGATGGTGGACCGCAGCTTTACGACAAGCGCGCGTGGCACGGAACTATTTTTGCCACCTTATTTTTGCAACGCCTGTCGTGCTATATCGTGTTATCGTGCGTCACGTCCAAAATGAGACTGGGCGCACATACCTGGAGGGACAGGGTTCGAGGTCTTTCAAGTGGATAACTCTGTGATAAGAAGCATTCCCAAAGAGACAGAAAGAGACCTGCTGAGAGGAACGTACCCGACGATTGAGCGCGTGTGGGCGTTCCGCTTGGCGCGAAGACGGAATGCTTTCTTTGGAAGAGGCTTTCGTCATACCATATAGATCGTTGCATTTCACTATGTGTCCTTGGCTGCGCGGAAATACGCCAATAAGCAGAAAGTATATACCTTTGAAGACGTGTCCCGGAGACGATGATCTGGTTGAGCATCGATCTCTAATTTAAAACTTGATGCCTTCGCCCATACACCTATTCGCTTACGATACCTGGCTATAGTCCAGGTGCCAATGACTTGCAGCCTCAGTTCAACAGAGGGCATGGCACGCCTGCCCAGCGTGTCCCGAGGACCGCGGGATAGGCGGGTCCTCCTCCAAGCTTAGTAAGATACGTCGCCGATTCGGAGAGTGTAAGAACGCACTGTGTCGAGGATGTCATTATGTGGCGAGTGCGGACCAAATACCACCGCCAACTTTGACGAACGCGTGCAATTAACTTTCGAGAGAAGAGCGATGGGCCAAAGCCCTTCAATGTTCCATGATTCGCGACCTTTCGCAACGCTGAACTGGTGACTATGAGTAGTGGGCGCGTTCCGAAAGGCCTAATGCTGCTTACCAGTACCGCAAGCTTGTGCACATGGGATATGAGCGAGGAGTGCTGTTATCTCCGGCTAACATGGGGTTTGTTGGCACGATCAGCACCTACCGCGAATATTCGAGTCGCTTTCCTGAATTCGGTGGAAATCATTGGGCACGGGGGCTCATAGGGCGTTGTACGTCTTCGATTGGCGTATAGTGCCGTATGCAGGACCAGGCAAGGTGTGGGCTCGGTGGACATGCATCGTCATTGGGTCGGGTCTTGGGTACAGTTATCTGCAGCGAAATGTACTCATTGTGTGCGATTGGAAGTGAACGAGGGATAGATCACCTCAAGAAAGAACGGCGTCAGCTGTGGGCTGGAAGCTCGTCAGTGCCCGGTCCTGTACTACCACGGCGACTTGAAAACATCTCACATCACTCAACATCAAAGCGAGGTTAGCAGCGGATGGTTATAGCACTTGCAAGGTAAATATGTGTTGCCAAAGTATGAGTAGCTTCACTTGATACAAGTTCGCCGCAGAACGAAGCACATTTCACCCTCATCGACCGTAGTGTCAAACACTTCACGCAAGCACGGGCAATCACGGCGTTGTCAACCATTGTCATTCCAGCCTCTAGCGACATAACAGTCAATAGATGTACACTCCGAGCTCTCAGGGCTCCAGAGATGCCGGGAAAGTGCCGTTCTCCCTCTGCTCATCCCACTTGGAGATCTAGGAAACGTGTCAGCGAGGTAACATGCTGTAGAAGTGGTGGCGCAAACCCATTCGTCTGTGACGCGGATACAATCAGTACTAATGCATAGATTTAATGAAGCGTGAACATACTGGGGCAGATGGAGTGGTAGACGCGCTTGAACTGGTTGCAGGGTGCGAAGTCCTCACCCTTGGCCGCGATGCAACGGAAGTAGTCCGTGTAGTTCTGGAAGCTGTATTGCAGATGTAAGCTCTTTGAATGATTGAACCGTAGTAGTGGACATACCAGCGACGAGTCTGGTTGGTGTACGGGAAGCGAGCTGCGATAGACATGAGCGCCGAGCAAAATGAACGTCTCAAGCATGATACGCACCGTCGAAACCCGCGGTCTGGAGAACGAACTTGCTGTTCAGATAATGAGCATTGAATCAACATAAAATGTACGAGTGTACGCACTTCTGGAGCTCCTCGTCGGACATGGCTGCTATGAGGATGGTGGTTTGGAAAGGAGAACGACGTCGGCGCCCGCGCGGGACGAGACGGATGGTCGCGTGGAAATGAGATTAGTCAGCATTGATCTCTCGCCTTCATCGTGCAGCGCCGAGACCCGTCTCGGACCACCATCTCGACCGCTGCCTGTTGTTACGCTAATATCCCGATCCTTTCTTGTCTCTTGTATCGATATTTTGCTGTGGACCTCTAATGGATATTCTCAAGGCTGAAATTGCTGCGAAACGCAAAGCGGGAGAGGGGGACAATGGCCGGCCAAAGAAGTATATGCGAAAAGGAGATATTGAGCGGATGAGGTTGGAGGAAGAGCAGAGGGCCAAGGAAGAGAAGGAGAGACTTGCGAGGGAACAGGAAGAGCAGGCGAGACAAGCAAAGGTAAGCCCCGTTCCATTGACTATTCGTTTGGCGTGGGCTGTATCATCGAATAAGATATCCCGCATCTGCATCGCTCCACCTGCTTGTATTGTCGGGCGCTTCTTCGATATCTTTATATGGATTCATTATTTCGGGAGCGAGCTGGAAGCGAATATGCAACTCGATTATATTTCTGCATCCGGTAGTCGTCCCAAAGCAGTATTGGCTTCGCCTATGTGAGAGATAGACCGGCCATCGGCTGTGGTGCCGAAGGTGCTTAACACAAAACGGTCCTTCGCCAACGTCCAGCACCGCCATATCTGGCCAATCGGATACGATATGCATGAGCTGAATATTAAGCGTGGCTTCATCCCCATTAGTTCGAGCAGTCGTAGTGTCTTGCACCGTATCTGAATGTTGGGAATTCGAGCATAGACATGTTGCTGATTCTGAATGTATAGGCAGCAGCGGCAGCGGCGAAGGAAGCTGCTCAACGCAACGATGTGCAGCGCGGTGTTTCGCGGTCAACATCATCCCCTCTGCCTGACGAAGCCGGCGCAGAGCGCGCCGCTTTCAATATCTCCATCGAGGAAACGATCCGACGTCTACGCGCCAAGGGACAACCTGTTCGGCTTTTCGGAGAAACAGACAAAGACCGTCGCCTACGCTTGCGCGCGCTGGAACTAATTGAGGAGCGTGGACACGACAAGGCGGCTGGCCAGAATGATTTCAGGAAAGCGCTCGAGGACGTGGAGAGCGCTGAACGGGAGAAGAAGGCTGGCGCTGTACCTGTTCAGGACAAGAAGAAGCGTGCCGACGCGGAGACGACGGACATAGATCTGAATATGGTCAAAACAGACCCAGAAAAACTCTATCCCTTGATTTACTACGCTCTCAAGCGGGTCCTCAAAGAATGGGAAGAAAGTTTGGCTGATCGACCTGGTATGTGCGAATCTCTTTAACGGCATAGTGTCTTCGCAGTACTCATGCTACTCCGAATCTAGAGAGCGTCAAGCGAACTCAACAAGGAAAGCTCGCTGCCGCGACTCAGGTTCAGTCCGCTGAATACTTGAAGCCATTATTCAAGCTCCTCCGAGCCAGGGTTCGTCCACACAGTTTCTGGGGTCTCCTCCTGTCCTCACTGCTCATTCAGAACCTGCCTCCTGACGTGCTCGGACGCATCGCCGAGATTGTCTATTATATGCAACAACGCCAGTATCAAAGGGCAAACGACTCATACCTACGTCTATCGATCGGCAACGCGCCATGGCCTATTGGCGTGACCATGGTCGGGTGCGTAGTACAACTTTTGATACGCCTAAACGCCACTGACAGTTTTCTACAGCATCCATGAGCGTTCTGCTCGCGAGAAGATCTCGACAGACCAAGTGGCGCACGTATTGAATGACGAAGTCAGCCGGAAGTACATCCAGAGTCTAAAGCGGTCAGTATCCAAGCAGTTCTCCCACCGATCGTATCATGACTAATACTATACGCTACTTCACAGGCTCCTCACATTTTCACAGACGAAGTATCCACCGGAAGACGTCTCGCAGCTCATGGGATGAAGGGGCAGCAGTCGTTGACGCCGCCTTAGAGATCGGATCATTGAGAGCATGAGGATCACGCTCTACTCTGCGATCCGCGCGCCACTCGGACGATGTTGCGTCCATACCGTTTCTCCGCCGATAGTAGGCACTGGTGTACCAAGGAAGCAATGTAAATCCTGTGTACCGCAAAGTTCGAATGGAGGCCGAGGTTCTTTCTGATGGTTGACGATACTACGCCCTGTTGCTTCTACGTCGTACAATACAGTACGGACTGAGCTGTCATCGAGGCGCTCCGAGGCGCCACTATCACTGGGTTTACCCGTTCTCTACCACGATGGCCCGCCGGCCCACTCAGCCACCAGATTGTCACCAGATCCGGTCGATATTCCGCCCCAGGTTCCCGGGAACGTGATACGCGCTCAACGGTTTAGTGTCAGGCCCTCAGGTATCTTTTGACTGGAACGCCTGACAAGTCCGAGACTCCAGGAAGGTCCCCGTCTCGCAATACAATACTTTGGTTCGCCGTAGGCCGCTATTACATCCGAACGACGTTCCGTCAACCAACCGTGGGAGGCGTGCACTGATGTTGACCACAAAACCGTCCCTGAGCCGGAAAGGCCCTCACTGGCTCGATGAAGCAAGTGTCAGGCTATCGTTTGCCATTCGCGCCTTGCTTTTTGCCTTTACGAGTTGCATGCTTATCATCGCGTGGTTGTGGCGTGGCGGCGTCGTGCAGAGCATGCCCTGTCGAGTTGATGTGCGCGAAAAGCTTCGTTCTGCTGTCGAACGACGCCTGGCAGACGTTACATCGCTGCTGTCCTGCCTCTCCCTACGGTTGGGCGCGTTAGCTCCATCAAAAGACCCTGAGCGCGGAGAAGACAGAGGTAGCGTGCATGGCACGCTGCAGGGCTGTTAGGTAAGAACCGAGGTGCAAGGGCCCGGTACCTGCAAGACCCGGGAGCACGTCTGCGCTGCAGAGATAGATCTCCCGCTGATCCTCGGCTGCGTGTGCTTATACGGCCCAAAATGAACGGGACACGGCGGGGAGGTGGTGATGCCAACGCGGTCACTCACCGCGGCTTTCTTTGCGGCCTCGCGCGCTCGACGCTTTTCCCTCTTGGAGATCTCCGGTTGAGCTTCATGCGACCCACTGCCGTCGTCCGGCGAATTTGCCTCCATCAACGGTGTTTCAGCGTCCACATCCGCTACGACTTCAGCATCTGCCTCACGTCCCTCTTGAGCGGGTGATGGCGAAGGATCGGCAACTCCCACTGCGGAAGTCGTTGGTGGCGTAGAAGGGCCTGGCTCTCCGTCAGTGTCCCTGTTCCGGCGTCTCCTCGAGTTTTTGGGTGCACGAGGCGGTGACGGAGAGGATGCACGACTAGGTTTACTCGACCTTGACTTTTTCGTCCTACGCCGGCCGGTAGACCAGTCGTCTTCCATTTCTTGATCATCAGACCCTGGGAGGATATCGGGAACAGGTTCCCGAACAGTGTCAGATGTGGGAGGGTCGCGAGGAGCTTCAGCAGCTTCGGAGTCATCCTCCGCCCGTTCGTCATCCTCGACCGCTAGCGCCTCCATATCTTCCTCCAAACCAAGGGCGGCATTCTCTTCGGCCATCTCACGAGCGAGGCGCTCAACGGCTTTCAAGTGCTTTTTGCTCCTCTCATGGCTATCCCAAGCAGCCTCGCTTCGGAAGCTCTTTCCACAAGCAACGCACTCCCACTCCTCTTCGTCGGCCCCTTCAGCCAGAGCCCACTCCAAGTCGGCGGCATTACCCTGCGCTGTTCGTTGCCAATCCTGTGCGACAAAGGTTGCTGCTGGCGTGGCCGTACCAGACGTCTGCCCAGAGGTTTGACCCACTGACGTCTTCGATGGCTGGCTTGTGGGTGTAGGGGCGTTTTGGGCAGCCTGATACGCCTTGTACCGAGGATCTCGCTTGCGAATGAACTTGACGAGAGCCTATAGAACCATTGATAACGAGCTGCAGATCGCGTATACAATGTATTCTCAATGCTTACTCGTACTGTCTCGTTGAACTCTTTACGAGCCTCCTCACGCGCTTTCTTGTTGTCGCGTTCCATAAGCCTACGTGCAATCATGTTTGTGAGCGCCTTCATCGGGTGACCCTGGGTCAAAAGAATACCTTCGCACCCGGCGGTCTGGAGCTTCAGCTTCATTCCACATATCCGCCCAAGTGAACTCCTTCTGAGAGGCAAAATTGAGCCAGTAGTTGTAGAAAACCCGCGCAGCCTCTGCCGAACGATCTTTCGAAGGCGCTGCCCAGGTCCAGGACGAGGTGCCGAAGGAAGGAAGCTCTGATGCGCTCACACCCGTGTACGCCTGCTCATCATGAGCGAGACGCTCAAAGAGGTTGCGATAGATAGTGAAGAAGCCCTAAACCCCGCCGATGTAGTTCAGCACCTAGATGGATAGATGGAAGGCGCGTTGACGCACATCCGCGCTGTCATCGAAGCCTGACCAGATGCTTGGGTCAAAGAAGGGCTGAAGGTGCCGTACAGTCAAGCCACGATCGCGCGCACGGTTAGGTGCAGCACCACTTTTGATATCTTCGAACACAGTCTCCACGTCTGGCTCTGGAACCAGGGACGCGCGGTGCGAATCGTACCAAGCACGTTCCTGTAACCAATTCGTACAGATTCGTAGTAGTCCTTGACCTAGGGCTTCACTTGTGGCGTACCTGGTCGTCACTTAAAACCTGCCACGGGTGACGGGGAAGATGAGAAGTCTTACGGATATTCAATTGAACGCCGTAACGAACCTCATACGCTTGCTGTAGTGCTGCAAAGCGTTGCGTGGCACCCTCTGGATCATCCTGATTCTTATCCGGGTGATGCTTGAGAGCGAGCTTTCGGAAGGATTTCTATCCAGCATGTTAGATTTTGTCGTGGATGTACTGTCTTTACCATGCCTTGATCTCCTCGGCTGTCGCGGTTTCCTCTACCTCGAGTAGAGCGTAATAGTCCGCAACAGCAGTCTCCGACGCCGCACCAGGATCGTGACGGGATTCGCGTGCACCCATTTTTCAGTCGGCCTATCAGATACGAATTGAATGTTCCGGCCGCAACGAAGTGCGCGTCGAAAGGAAAGAGACGATCGAGCCCGACGCGTCAGGACACGTGCCATCAATCCCGACGCGTCGCGAGCGCGTCACTGACAGCACGGAACGCGCTGCTTCTGCTCTCATACCATCACCATGTCATCCTTTTTCGGCGGTTCAAGTGTCAGCGCGGCAGGCTCCGCTGGTATGGCAGGGCTTGACTTAGAGATACGTCTAAAGCTAACGTTCATGAAGATGTCGAGCAAAGAAAGCAGGCTGTCATGAACAGCATCCGCCAAGAACTCGCCATGTCAAGTGTACAGGAGTTAATTACCGTACGTACTCGCTGCTCATTTGACATGCGCTTGCTCAACCCAAACTTCGCAGAAAATCAATGAAAAGTGCTTCAAACAATGTATCACAAAGCCATCCACGTCTCTATCGGGGTCGGAGGAGGTACGTAGCGACATGTACAGGTCATTCTAGTTATGAATGGCATCGCAGGTTTGCCTCGAGAGGTGTCTTGGGCGTTATATGGAAGCATGTGCGTTACTCTCTATGAAATGGCCTAACGAATACTAACGGTCTTATGTTAGTCAACATTGTCAGCAAGGTCTACACGCAGCGTTTGGCCAAAGAACGTGCTGAACATCCAGAACTTAACTGAACATGTCCTGGACGTTCGCCTCATCTTTGATGACCTAGTACGCCGCACTTCTTGTAGCGCGCTTCGGGTCACGACTACAATCTCCTACACACATATATTCACCCTAATCCCATGCACTGCTCGGCTACGAATCGCAATATCTGCATTGTACTGCTCCTGCTCGCACGAACATCAACATTATCTTGCTTCTTGCACCTCATCTTGAGCCGCAGCTGGGACACACTCGGCGGGTCTGCTCCAGGTTGGCCATGGGATCTCGCTACCGACCTGGTAGACCGTTGATCACTGAAGCCCGTCAAGGGGTTGTTTTTATCTCTCATGTCAGGAGTGGCACTGATGCAGAGCAGCTTTCTTTCGAGAATGTTGCCAGGCAGCATTCGTAGGCGTGCTCTCACGTCTTTCAGGCATCAAAGGTCGTACTAGGATCAAGACCAGCCTAAATCACCACGTCATTGCATGTCCCTCCACATCATGGATGATATACGAGCGATATAGGGAGCCACAACGCGTAGTCGTTTGATAGTCTGGTGGCTGTCTCCTCATCTCAGCGTTGATGAGGGTCTTGTCTCCGATCTTCGCTGGAAGATGGGCTGTTTAGTGCGCTTCTGCAGCACGATCTACGCGCCTGAGGTTGAACCGATGTGTCCAACCTTCTGGTTCCTGCCCCCGTACAGCAGTGACGAGGCTGTTGAGAAGTGCACATTATAGTAACGGCAGCGACGTGTTCATGGGCACGTATTACCCCTTTCACTGACTATTCGAGGCTCAGGACCTTGAGAGTACATTGGTGAATATGCTAAAATGCCGAGCCTGATGGAGATGCTGCGTGACAGTCGCGTTGACTCAAGCGCGCCATGCCCATCCAGCGGCGAGCGCGTCTTTCATTCCCTTCTTCCCCGAGAGTCAGGTCGCATGCTCACAGCCATCATAGACGACCTCATCTCTTCAATGAGGAGCAGACTGGGCCTTATTCCGATGGATGCTCTGCGCGTTGCGATATGCAATTGTGTGTTGAGAATGGGCACACGGCCGACCCCCCTACTCACGCGTCGGGGCTGGGCCGATACGCTTTTCACCTGACCCGATTATTTCCCGACTAGGCTTTTAGAAGTTGGGTGCCCTTCGTCGTCGTCGATCGAAGCTACTTTGTGATCACGCAGCGTCGGAGCCGGGTTCGGACAATCGGCGTGTCTTTACGTTCACCGATGGCATTGCTCACCAGAGCACTTGCGCCAGTCTAGTACCTATGAAGCTTATCGAATCGAGGGCAGAGGTGTCAGAGTGTGGAGGTAGTCGTCACACTGAAACAAGCGAGCGTATTCGTCCGGGCCCGGAAGATACCAACAGTTTTTATCTTGCAGGCGATATTTGTACCCGGGCCAGCCAGGAAACAAACCAGAAGTGCCGTCGGTAAGGAAGATTCTGGCCAGGAACCCACGTCTCGCTCTTCTCTATCAGTAGTCTGACCTTATCCGAGAGGTAGCAAACATGCGCAATGGAAGTGGGGTCCGTTGTCACCCGCCCCCCACCGAACTATTGAGTTGCGCCTCCTTACCAGGGCCTTCCATTTTCTGCAAAGCGCGTCATCCTATGCTAGCGTGGCTTTCAAATGCCTTGCCAGTCTTGTCTTGTAAGGCGGAACGATTGCTACAGATGAGGGAGCCGCCTGTGATCGACGTCGTGCGGCGCGCCGCCCGCCGGATTTCGGCGCGGACCCTTCCGCTGGGCATCCAACTACTCACCGCACCGATTTGCCTAGAGCCAGCACAGCCACCGGGATCCGTACAATGACCGTCGATATCTCGGCTCCGTAGGCAGTGATGTCGATAACTCACGCGATCCTAGGGGGTATGTCATCAGGGCGTATGATGTGCGTACAGTCGGATTGTCAATTAGATTTGCTTGCGTATGGTACGAACATGATGCTATGGGTACACAGAGACGTGATTATGGCACAGAAAGGGATAGTAAGCCAAGACGATCAGGCGCAAGGGTTAACAGATGCGGTGGTAATGGTAAAGTGCAGAATCGTCTAACACGGATATGTAGGTAATAGATACACTCGGGGTGAACTGAGTCGCACAACAAGGAAAAAGCAGGCAGCGATGAGTGACACCAAAACACCAAGACACCAAGAACTAGTAGCGGGGTCCATGACCGTAACCATCGTCGTAGGGCGAAGCGCTAAGCATGGCAGGCTCGCCCACCATACCGTGGCCCGCAGGCCGCGACACCAACCCTGACGGATGATGAACAACAAGCTCGTGGGGCCGCCCTCCATACGCAAGCTGGGGTGATACCGACGTCGCGTAATGCTGTCCATGAGCAGGCGCGACTACCCCACTCGACAGAGCATAGTGCGCATGCCCTCCTGATGGCGTTCCCGCTGCGGGCAAACCACTCGGGTAGCCCTGACCGGGATAGCTACGCGACAACGGGGCATGTGTAACGTCGTCGAGAACACTGTGCGATGGAGAGTACATGGGCGTCGCATATGGTGAAGCTGACGAACCCGGCGAGGATGAGGAATACGACAAGCTTGACTGCGCGGAGGGGGATACTTGCGAGTACGAGGCATATGATGGGGCTGGAGATGGGTTACTTGATGAACGCGAAGACGAAGGCGGGTCTAGGTCGACATGATAGTCAGATGGTCGCCTGTGCGCCTCGAGAGGATGAAGGGTCGAGTTGCCATGCCCAGGATATTGATCGTGAACAGCGTACGGCATGTTGTCCGGAAGCCGGGTCACCGCGAGTGGCTCGAACCCCATCGACGCTGATACCTCTGAGGAGGGCGCGGGGTAGGGAGGCGGCGGGGACCTAACTTGGGCGTCCGAAGATCCAGCCATCGGAAGGTTGAAGTGTCGAAGGACGTGCGCCAGCTGAGCTGATGCGCCGACAAGGTCGTGGCGGAGATCCATCGACGCCTGAGCGCCTTCGGTCCAATCCGCCGAGCGTTTCCAGATGCGGCGTCCAGTGTAGATGCCATTATCTACAATGGGCTCCTCGATGAAAAAGAGAGGGGATTGATGGAGGATGAAGGTGACAAGAGCCTTTCCGGGCGCGGTGTTCATGTACGTGGTCTCCTTGATGCGGTCGAATGGAACCTCGATCTTAAAACCGTAGCCAGATGATTGGATGTACCAGACGAGACAACGACGATTCTCGCAGACGTAGGTGACAAGGTCGTGCTTCGCAATCTGGGTCGCGATTCGGCGCCAGTGACCGATGGTCAACTCGTAGCACGGGATGATTGTGATGGCTGTATACATGTTAAGCCAGGTGAAAGGACACATGAGAAGAAATGTCTGCTTACAGTCCTGTTCACGGATCAGGGATTGAAGATCACCCTCAAACCCTTGGCGGAGCTCGGGCGGCGTCTGTGGAGGAGTCGAATCCTTGCCCTTGACTTTGCCGTCTAACAGCTTGGCCTTCGCACGCCTGGAAAGTCAGGTATTTCAGCGCTCCGTCGTGCAGGGATAACAAGATACCATCGGGCGCACCTGTTTTGGAACCAGATCTGTGTCTGGCGCTCCTGCATACCGAGAAGCTGGCTGATCTCACGGCGCCGGGCGGCAGTTGGGCTTCTGTCCATCGCGAAGAAGCGCTCGAGGTGTACGAGTTGGTCGGGCGTTACGCGCGAGCGTTTGCGCTTCTCCTTCTCGGGCGCACCACCGTTCTTGCTACCACGCGAGCTGGCGGTCGAGGGACGGCGGCTCGGTGCCGAGGACGGAGACGCGTCTTCGTCAGGTGAGGGACTGAACTTGCGCTCAGGTTCATCTGGCGATCTCGGAGGTGCCGACAATGGGGAGGAATTCGCGGGAGAGAGGCTCTCCTGCTTGCAGACTGGAGAGGGAGGAGTAGAGCTGCGTGTATGGGACGCGTCAAATGGTGAGCCGGCCTTGACTGTGAACCGTATGATAGTAAGCACGATGAGGACATTGCACACGATGAGAAGGACTAGTACGTACGTTCCATGACGGGGAGATCCCAAGGGTGAGCTGGTAACAATGTCAAAGCCAGGATGGCAAGTCGCGCAGGCGCAGGGGTAGGAGGAGCCAAAGTCTATGTCGGCTCGGACGTTTATAAAGTTCGCAGACGCTCGGAGCCATGGAGGAGATGTGTTATACCACGCAGACGCAAGCCACAACCTGGTCGAATCTAGGAACACGTGCGAGTCTCCCGATGATCGCGCAGACGATCACGATCACCAACCTGGCGGGGTGCGGCCGGGAGGCGCGTAGAATAGACGTAAGAAGGCGGACTCAAAAAATCCCATCGCAAGGGGGCGAGGCAATCCACAAGGGTCGGTGGCAGTGGAATTTGAATTGCGAAGAAAGATGCCACCTAAGGTAAGGCTCTGCCTGGCGCTGCACACCACCTCTGCTAGCCCGCCTGTTGTACTGGCACTGCAGAGACGGGACCGTCCGAACTTGAGGGACGCCTCCTTGGATATGGCAGCACCCCGTCGGCCTCGGCTCAAGCACCCGTAGGACACGCGTTCATAGAGAGCGGGTTCAAGGCCCGCCCTCGATCAAGTTTCATCCTGTTGCTAGCTGCACGGCGACGACGGAACCGCCATCTGCGCATTGTGTCCCTGGCAAAGAGGCTGTGGATATGCTCTCTTTGGGGAATGATATAGAGCAAAAGGCTCCCAAACTAAAGTCCTCCTTTTGGCAAGCGCTGGTAGGTCTCCCGCCGAATAAAAGCTTGTGACCATCAATGCTTAACAAAGATTCGCGTAAGTACAAGACTTTGGCGCGAAAGGCAAGGTTCGAGGGAATGGAGTCAAAGAACGAGGTTCTACTTAGTGGTAACCGCGAGTGGACGTCTGTGGGAGGCGGCGCGATAAACCTCCAGCCGGCGGATCCGGCGAGACACGGACCATTAGCCACGCGACCGCGGACCTATACTGCTGGGCCAGCGAACGCCAATTGCCAATTCGGACCAACGCGGTTTAGCGTCTCGCGGCGAACAGCGCGTTAGCGTCGTCGTCGTCGCTGTCGGACGTGCATTGCACATCAAGAGAAGAGCACGGCAAGCGGCCGTGGCTCGACGTATCGTGCATGCTTCGCCCGGCTCACGGTGTGCTCCTTCCGTTATACAGGCAGCAGCAGCATGTTATCTGACAATTGTCTGACAGGGATCATCCTGGAAAAGCCGGGACGTCTGTTCACGATGAAGATGCCGCCGCAGGCCGCCGTGCGCTCAGCGGCCCCTCCGCCTGATGTGTAGACGGCTAGAACAAACTTTTTACTGCACAAAGCACGTCGTAGATCTCAAGATGGACCCTGAAAGTACATGTGCTTCTTTGTCCGTCAAGAGTGGTACAGCACGCTGGCTCCCAGTGAATCGGCGCACAGCGATCCTTGAGGCCTCGAGCTAGCTACACATCAACATCGTCGCTGTGCTTCCCTCAAAGCCCGATCGCTATCTCTCCCGAGCCCAATGACCTTACCGCCGCCGCCCTTCACTGTAGTAATTCTATGTCCACTGACAGAAAGGTGGGCGCCGGTAGAGCACATGGTACCAATGGCATAGTCGGGGACGGACGCGCTTTGCGCCTCAGCTTCCGCGATCCTCTCCGCTGGCTCTCCGTCTGCAACATACCGTTCGGAATTCCCGACCCGAGGCTTGCCCGGAGCCGTACGTCGTGAGCACGGGACTTCGCGAAATCTTTCCACACTCGTCGATCTTGCTCAGTTCTTGCTCGCTCGCGTCGTCGTGTGCGACAGAAAGACGAACTGCGTGATTGCTCAGTTCCCGAATGTCGAGTCGTACGACGATGCCAAGTTGCAGCTAGCGCATCAACGGTTTCAAACCGCTGTGCCCGTAAGCGGTACCTTGATGGAGAGCGCAGAGGCGGGGCATCAGAGAGAAGCGACGACGATGCTGATGCGAAAAGGGGTTCGCGCCACTGCAGACTGAGCAGCCACTTCCACCGGCCGCCTCCGTCACTTCAGGTGTGCTCGCAAAGCCGCGGGTCAGACCGCGACTCGTACTGCTTTCACTGCTTGTCACCCTCTCCACCTGATCAGTGTCGTTGTCCTACAGTGATGTCTCAGTACGCGAACTAGAACGCCACAAACTGTGAACTTTTGTATGCCTCGACAGTTGTTCCCACTGCTTTGTCGGCACTAGCTTTCCATCAGCGCAGAAAGGCCAGCAATGGATAACAGGAAGACACGGCGCCGATCCTGATGGTGCTTGGAATGGCAAAGACATGACCAGTCTCGGGTGTAAATAGAAGATGGCGGGTATAATGGGTCTAGAGGCCGCGGGCAGTCATCCGACTCTCTCGTGCCATGACGGTCCATATCCCGGAAAAATGCGACATCTTATACTGTGAATCGGCAGCCTGAGAATTTGGTGCGCGGCAGACATGTACGTCAAATCGAAAGACAAATATGAGCAATGAGGCGAGGTCAGGGTACAGACCGTAGCACTCGGAGCAGAGGCGTGCTCGTCAGCGTATACGAAGGCAATTACAGGCTTTACGACTCCGAATGACCTACGCCACCGAAGGCACATCATAGACAGCGTAGTACTCGCACAACAAGCTCCGCGTCCGAGGATACAAGTATCGTCAGGGGCCCATTAGACTTGCAGTAAGTGGCCAAAGCACTTGCACATCAGGTAGTACGACAGGGCCGCGCAGAGTACGAGCGGCGACAGGAGCTCGGGTGAGCGGAGACCGCACAGAGTTGTGAGCTATGGTACAGCTTGCTTCATCGCTCGCCGCGGCCATGCGAAGAGCCCGCAAGGGCTTCTCGGAGTCTGGCTGGCCTCAGACACACGGGTGCCGTGTAGAGTGTGAGGCTCGTACTAGACGTGGTTCTACGCCACCATCTTAGACGATTCGTTATGGTGTGAAATTCTGGTAGCGAAATGCGAGAGACCCGAGCCACGCCTCCGGCGGAGGACATCTCACCAGCTAACCATACCAACCAGTCGGCAAATGATTGAGTTCGTTCTCTAGTCTACGCATAGCGTCAAACCCGTAGAACATGTGGATGTGTGTGTTCCCCAACTTGCGTCAAAAGCGACAAAGCTTGTTGTAACGACGCCAGCTTCGGCCATCAGCGATCCGACGCTCAGCATCTTCTTCTCGGCCGCGCTGGGACTGGAGCATCAGCGCGCCCTGTCGGGGGCTTACAGGATACAGCGCAGCACACAGCCGCGATCCGCCGACACATCTGCGGGCAAGATTGTAACCTGTCCCGGCCGTACGAGCCCTGCGGAAGATGCACCTCCAGTTGCGGGCACGAGCCAACCTGACAGGGCGGTACACTACCCGCCTACGTAAAACGCGTAAGCGCGGCTGCCCAGGAAGGCAGCTAGAGCTTGATCTGAGAATGGCCAAACTGTGTTGCATGACTCGCCAGGAAGACAGTAGGTAAGTTATCATTCAAGCATCAGAAGACGCGGACGTGGCCGAAGCCGATGGGTCGGCGTACAGACAGCGAGGCGTGTGTACAGGCGCGCGAGGACTTGAATCGACGCCATACCTCATTACCCGCGCTGATGCGTATTGTTTGGTGCACTCTCGAGAAGAACGGTCGTGACGAGGGCGCTGGTAGAGCGCGAGCCAAGAGATTGTGCAAGGTGCCTTGCTGTGATAGCAAATGATCTACGGACCAACAGCATTTTTCCTGCATGACGAACTATACCCCCAACCCCACCTCCGCGGCCGGAGTCCAAGGTCTCCAAGTTGAGTCAATTGAGCACAGGGATAGGCACAGTACTTTCACCGCACGTAGGTACCGGTACCGATAAGCTGACAGGAGGGCATTGGCATGATCAAGTAGCAGTCCGGACATCCGCAGGATCATGCAAATATTTCTTTGACTATATGCATCGCCCTTACAGATCTCGGCCAGTACTCAGGAGTACGATAGGCTAGCCTGAGTACTCAAGTACTCACGAACCTGAGTGGACTGGGAAGGAGTGGTTATCATAATGACTATGAGGAACGCGATGATTCCACCCTTACCAGAAGTGTTCTCTTGCGAGTTCAGCGCCACCGCAGTGGGATAGTGCCACAGTGACCTTAATAGTCAATGGTGTACATGCTGGCTTCGGTGTACAGCTATCTTGAGTACAGCCGATCCGATCGTATCTGCCGCCGGCTGAGAACCACAGACAGCTAAAGGCGTCAACTAAATCTGATTAATGTTGCTCGAAACACGCAAGGCCCAGTAAAGATATCAAATTCGGACCTTGAATACCACGGTGCGTGGAACAGGACCAAACACGGAGAGACGTTGGTCATGGCGATATTTTGAACAGCGTTGTCAGGATGGTGTGCTTTGACAGATGGTGATGGACGACCTTTGAAAGCAGTCGGAGCGAGGTCGCGCGGAACAATAGTGTCAGACAGAACCTGCATACACAGGTACAAATCAGGTAGCCGAGCGGATATTGAATTGGTGGCGTTGAGCGAAAGAGCAGCTGAGAGAGTACGGACGGGTCATAAAGCATGACCGTTCGTTGGGCGACCCGCAGTGTGAAACACGTATCCGTATACGACAGAGAGGGCACGCATCGAGGTATCAGGCGGACAGACATGAGTTGGACGTGCATCCCTAGAGATCCGTGTCCCCGATGGTGGTTCGAGCTCAAGACGAGCATCAGACTTGACGAGCTCGCCGCCGCGTCGTTACTGTACTGATCCGGCGAACGGCGAACGCGCGGCTAGTACGAGCCTCGCAGCGGCCGCACCGTATTCTGTTTGCTCACAGTCCTCATTTAAATGTATATGGCGGGTAGCTTAGCTTATACTGCAGGATGAGCCTTCGAACACGAGGCCATCAACGGTCACGGACCGTTCGAACCGTAGTTGTCAATATATAAGGTTTTTCTCATGGTCATTTCAGAACAATAGGACTGCTAGCGTCTACAGGTCGAGGAGGCAAGCAGTGGGGGGTATAGATACTCCATACGCAGATCATCGTAATTCACCACCGTGTATGTAGCGT